AATCAGTCTCTTTTACAAGTTAAATGAAATATTTTAATATGGCTGTCAAACGAGATAGATTTAATTCTATGAATAATGAAGTGCCAAAAGAATTCAGAAAACAAGCGCGCAGGTCCAAACGAGAGACTATTGAAGCAAGCCCAGTAAAGACGAACGAAATGACTAGGCTCAGGGTACTGCTATTAAGCTCTCTCTCGAAAGTTTACAAGAAATTGTTAGAGTTTCATCCGGGGGAATATTAGTTATTTATTATCCTCAAGAACCGTTTATGAAATAAGACCGTAACAAATCAGCAATACCGTAAGTTGTCTAATGTCCCATCTCAATGACAGCAATTATCTAGTTGGGCCATCTGAGGTTAAAGGCAATAGGAATTTGCTCACCTTCAGCCCCTCGATGTATCCAGTCATAGCTGGAAAAATTATTTACGCAGTTTCTGATTGTGGAATTGTTATCCAAATGTAGGAAGGCTATTAATGGATTGAAAATCTTGATGTGAGCTCTGTGTAGTCAAATGGTCAGATGGCTCATTATTAGGTACTCGCGTAAGACCTGGAACTGAGAGCAAACGGCTTACTCAGGCTTGCATTTTCCAAATCGCTTGTTAAAGAGCTGGCCAATAACTTGAACGCAGCTTGGCTGTCACTGCAGATACGTAAGCTCTTGCCCCTCCACCTATTTTACACCATGCAGTCCATGACCATGAGGTCCGCGAAATGCCTTCGGAGAGATGTAAATCCACAGGATTCCTCTTGGGGACAGACACCACGTTTTACCAAAGACCTGTTTAAATTTTCAGAATGTTGGTAAGGATTTGGAGGTCCATTGCTCAACGTGAGAAAAGTTTACTATTGAAGATAACACCTAAATATTTTACTTCAGAAGAAATTTAAATAGTCCTTTAAGGACATGCCCGGGCAGAGGGGACAAGGTCTTCCAACATTCATCGCCTAGAGTTGAGCGCATGACTACTTCTGGTCGAGTTAGTGGACAGGAAACAACTGACAGAGAAGGGCCTTTAATGAGGCAGGCCACATTTTTTGCATAGACCTGGGCGTAGATATTAGAGCAGCTAAGTTTGATCACAAGGGGATCAATTATCAAGCACTAGAGCAAATGTTGAACACTCACCGTCCGGAGGAACTCCGCTCGTAGCAAATTGAGCCCCTTTTGTCTGAAACTTATCGACTTTTCGCGCGGGCGGTGAACAAATCCGATGTACCAGCAATATACTCCATGGCTCAGAGCCCAGTTGCACATGCTATCGAAGATGGCATTGTCAAAAGCACGCTCAACGTCTACAAAAATTTTCAAGGCGAATTCTGTGTTTCTGATGGCGTTACTATATCTGATTTTGCAGGGCCATCTCACATGATTTCCCGACTGATAGGCTTATTGACGCAACGACAGAGTATATGATGAAAGCGTCTCCATACGAATGCGCAACTCAGCTAATCTTTCGTGACTTTTCAGCTGGAAGCACACTCATGTTAATGGCCCTGAAGTTTGTATGGCTGGCTTTATGGATTTAGAAGACGTCCACTAGGTTCCATGTTTAATCTTAATTTCTTGTATTTTTTCTTAATGTTCACAGCAGATGCTTGATTTCGAACTAAACCTGCCGACTCCACTTCTTTCGCTGAGTGGAAGTTTGCCCTACGACTGAAGTACGACCTATTTCAGATTTTTTTTTTCAAAAATGCCCTATTTTGGAATTCGATTGAACAATGCCCTATTTCAGCACTCGGTTCACAAACTCCGCTTCAAAAACTCTGGTTAAAAATTAAAAAAAAAAAATATAACAAATTTTTAAATTTTATTTTTTTTTAACCGACTTCCAAAAAAGGAGGAGGTTATCAGTTCGTCGGAATATTTTTTTTTTTTTTATGTATGTTACCGCATAACTTTGGACCACGTCAACCGATTTCGATAATTCTTTTTTGCATCGGAAAGGTAGTGTCTCAGAGGTGGTCCCATACTAATCTGGTTAAGATCCGATCAGTGGATCATGAGATATATATATATATATATATATTTTTTTTTTATATGAGAGTTTAAGTCGTTTTTTTTGGATAAAAATTACTTGTTTAATTCTGTACAAGGTTTGAAATGTTGATTCATATGCTGTTTTTTAACCGACCTCCCAAAAAGAAGGTTATCGATTCGTCCGAATATTTTTAATTTTTTTTTAATGTATGTTACCACTTAACTTTGGACCACGTTAACCGATTTCTATAATTATTATTTTTTAAAGGAAAGGTGTTACCTCATAGGTCATCCCATACTACTTTAAATCCGATCAGGGGATCTAGAAGAAACTAACGACAATCTTAAATTTTTATATGAGGATTGAAGTCGGTTTTTTTGCTTAAAAGCTACTTGTTATTTAATGATTTAGACTTTTATAAAAAATATCAAACATTAAATAAACAAAGGAAAAATATTATATATTTGCTCTTATTTTTTCCACCACTGTAAGTAGTATAGCAACTAATCTGGTATATGTTGCTCATTTCAATTTAAAGGGTACATTATTTTGACATTTTTGGCATTAAAAAACTTTTATCTATAATCTAAATATTGCTGTAATTATAAACGGTGCACTGCGCTTTAAGTGTCCAATCGACCGTTAAGGCTCCACTTGCCTATAAAAGCAGGTTTACCAACAGTTGAGTACAAATTATAAAGAAATTATATTTCTGAACACACTTACGCAGCAGAAGGTACCTCCAACTATTTTATGTATTATACAGCTAGCCTGTTGGCCATTTTGCTCGGTGCTTCGGTGCGAAATGTAAAGGTGAGAAATATTAAATTTCATTTATGTCATAAATAATTCACAATTCCTTTCTAGTCACGCTACATCTCACTCTCATTCAATGTGTCTCTAAAAATGGACGAGGATCGCCAAGAACAGCAGCAGCAACAACAATCATTTGAACGGCAACAAGAGCTGTCACGTCCAACACTCTCTGCTGCTGTCTTACGTTCATGTATGAAAGAAACCGAACTTTCTATGTCTGAGCTAAAACGATTTCGTCTAAGTTTGCTCACACATGATCTTGAAGTTTTGAATAGCACCAATGGCCAGACTACGGAACAGCCATGTGCTGCTGATGCGAATGACTATGATTCAGTGCTCGATGAAGACATTAGTTATGAAGAAAATGCGCAAAAAAGGAACATTGCGGTGTATGAAGATTCACGTTCACTAAAAGTTGGTGACAGTGGAGATGAAGCGCTGCAATGTTTTGCCTATTGCCTCTACGAGCAATTGGGTCTCTTTTCGAAGGGTGTGTATATGGAGGAGCAGCTCTTCGCCAAGCTGTATGCGATTGTTGGGCGTGAGAGGCATTTGGTGAAGCAGTGTATGGACTTGAATGCCATGAATATATGTGAGTCTTCGTATAAAATGCATTTATGCTACGCACGCCTTAAGAGCCTCGAAGAGGAGAGTCAACTGCGCGATGCACTTGGGTATGGTGCCGATGACAGAGTGATGGAAGAGGAAGAAGCAATTGAGGATAAAGAAAACGAAGAAGAAGTTGATACAACGTAGGCGAGCATCAAACAAGAATTAGATTGAAAGAAGTGTGGAAAATGTCGAAAGGAGTTGGCTTAGCTGATTCGAGCACTAATGGGATCTTGTAAATTATGTATAGCTTTGAAAACTTAAAATATTCACGCCTAAGGAAAATGATTTCTTAGAAAGGTGGAACTAATAATGAATGAAGCAAGTGAAGTAAAACGAAATAAAATGAGGTACAACTACAAGCGCGGAGCACGGTGTACTAGAGAGAGAAACTGTTATAAACTGTTATTTACAAAATTTTTTTTTAAGAGAAAACAATTTCTGGTTTAATTTCATTTCGTTTTAAAGAACTTAATTTTTTACTTTATTAATTAAATTTTGTTTTAATTTTTAGTTTTTAATGTTTTGAAAAGAAAAATACATACATATATTTATATTTTCTAAAGCATTATGTATTTTAAGAAATTTTTTTATTTTCTTATTATATATTTTTGGTTTTTTTTCATTTTCAGATTTTATTTTTCAAGAAGAAATTTTTTTTGCTGAATTTAATTTAGTTTCTAAAATATTTTTCTCTTAACTATGTTTTTTTTTTTTCATTTTTACATTTTACTCTTTCAAAAAGAAAAATTTGTTTTTCAATTTCAACTATGTAATTGAAAAAATTTGTTTTATTGCTTTCCTTTTTAACTGTTTTTTTTTACTTAAATTTTCTTTTAAATTTTATATTATGGAACAATTTTTTTTAAATTNGTAATTGAAAAAATTTGTTTTATTGCTTTCCTTTTTAACTGTTTTTTTTTTTACTTAAATTTTCTTTTAAATTTTATATTATGGAACAATTTTTTTTAAATGTCATTGAATTTTAAGGAACTTATATTTTTTTGTTTCATTGATTAAATTTGTTTTCTTTCTTTAATAAAATTTTCTTTTAATTTTTAGTTTCTGTTGTTTTAAATTTTTAGCTTTTATTGTTTTAAAGGAGAAAACTATATGCTGTTTTGAATTCATTGAATTTTTAGAAAACTTATAGTTAAAATACAAACAAAAAAACGTTACGACCTCCTCGTTAGCAGATCTTTCGATTACACTATCGAAAGACAGTAAAGAGCTTTCAAGATAAGAATTGACAATTGTCTCGTGAAAGACTTTTGGTTTTTCGAACACCTGTCACGTTCACTTCTTTAGTAAATAACGTATTAATATAAACACATTGCGGTTATTCCAGCGCTCCATTAAAAACTTGCAAAAAAATTTGATGTGGCTAAATTAAACTCCCTAATATTTTCTTTGTCCCATATCTCCGTCCTACCTACTTATTTGTTAAACTGACGAAGGTACGAACTGTAGTTGTACTTGTGCCGCATAGCGTCATGACGCATGACATACAATTATTTTCGTTGGCCTAGCGTGAAATTGTCGCTAGTGCTTGCCGTCCTATTTAAATTCAAATCAAATTTATTTAAATGGTTAATAAGTATAACAAAAAATTAACACGTTTCTCTAAAAGTTTAGTCAATTATTATTTTTTACTTATAAATTATACATATTACGCCAAGTAAATCAAACTGAAAATAATTAAGTTATTGAAACCAATGAATTGTGCTCTAAATAGTGAAAAGCTACTATTGGTTTTTTATACCGTGCAATTTATTTTGGGCATACCTATTTAAACGAAAGCCCTCCACCGAAAACTTAACATTTGATAACGAAAAGGAAGCGTGATGAAATCGTACGGTTCTAAACAAGCGCTCTTGGTCGTTGTGCTCTGCAGTCTAATATCGCAGGTGAATTTTTGAAAAACTTCAACAAAATTGCTTTACAATCTCAGTTTTCTTTCTTACTATCAGCTGCTCGCGGCTGATGACAAAACCGCACGCGAAACATGTATCCAGCAGTCGAAGTTGAGTGCCGATGACGCGAATCGTGTGAGAAGCGCTACTTCTATAAGTAAACTTCTACAAAATAACTCCGCCACATTGGAATGTTTCCAATTGTGCTACTATCAACAAGTCGGTCTCATAGACACTAGTGGCAAAATTACATTGACTAAAGTGTTGGCTTACCTCGTGCAAGTCACTGGTATATCGGATGCAACGAAATTAACTGCTGCACTGCGCGCATGCGAGTCGGTGCAGGCTACCAATCAGTGCGATAAGGTATATCAATTTGAGAAGTGCACTTTCAACAAATTGGGTATTTGAGCATTTCAGAACTACATACATGTCGGTAGAGTAGTATTACTCTCAAATTTGCCTTAATCTGTTATTTCATATTGTGATGGGAACTGCTATGTGCTCGTCTAATAAAGCTCATGTAGAGCATCAATTAATCAAACAAATTTGAGTTTTAAATGAGTAGCAATTTGAAAGACAGTAACTATTTCGGCGTGTATAAGACCCAATACCCACAAGAGCCCACAATTTTTAAGGCTAAGATTACCGTAATCATGATTTTCTTACAGGTAGTCTAAAGAGATTAAGCGCAGCATAATTTGTAATATGTCCAGTTTGGAGGACAATAAACGTGCCAAGCAGACTAAAAAAACATAAAACCCTTACTTGAAAAGTAAAATCCTCCTGGCGTTAGGGGCTTCTAACTCTTATGCTAACCTTACTTAACTTATCTTGGCTGATCCTTTAGATCTCACAGAGAGCATTAATTGGTCCTTACTTTCACCAATAATGTATGAGATGATTTGAGACTGTCGCTCAAAATTTCCCCAACTAGTATTTTGCATTCTAGCTCTGGAATGGCTAGAAGCTGGTGGGTGTTTTTTTCTTTCTATGTAAGAGCGAAGCATGATCTTTGATGTCATTGCCATGTCTATCCTAAGATGGCTATTTAAATGCAGTGACGGATGCAGAATTTTGGTTGAACAACTTCTTTCTGAAGTATCGTTACTACGAGTAGCATCAGCTGTGATCAGATTGCAGAAAAGTTTGTAAATCAATCGAAAAGAAATACTGCAAATTTTCAAGTATATTGAGACACCAAATTTTTAAAGGGAATCTTCAGTATCTTTTCGTACTTATGAACCAAAAGATTTATTATTTTTTAACTCTCTTGCATTTATGACTTTTACTTTCCCCTCTCTAAGCCCAACCAGTTTTTTTGTCAACTGTCACCTGCCTCCATTTCACACTTTGCGACGTAGCCGATTGTTAAGGGCTTATCGGCAAGACTCGCATTCTATCCAACTTCTAAAAGACAGCTTAAGTTTCAATCAGGGACCGAAAATAACAGTTATTATTTTTAACAGTTTAACAGTTTTAAATCTATTTTAGCCCTCTTTCATTTGATACCAAACTTGTTTAATTTGGATAAGCGGTTTGTTTATGATTCGAAATGACTTTTGCTTCGGCCTTAAAAAATATTTGGCCAAGTTTAACTGTTAAAAAAATTACTGTTATTTTCGGTTCCTGTTCTCAATGCATTCACCTCTCAGCTATGCTTAATCAGCCCGAGAGCATAACTTTCACGAAAAGACTTCTCATAAAATTCAGTCGTCTACCGTTCGGAAGCGATATCGCACAGGCGGTTCTTCCACTTGCGTGATAACATCAAGAATATTTAAGCTTTGCATTAAATATTACAAATTCATGGCGACTAAGCAGTTTACACATGTAAGTAAAAAAAATTGGGCCTGCTTATGGCTCATTTTTATTTGAATTTTATTAATATGTGGAAGCTGCTTAATCGTCATGAATTCGCAATATTTAATACGGGAAAAAATCACAATAGTAAAAAAACGCAAAAGTAAGCAAAATCACAAACAGAGACAAACAAACCTTCATTCGCTAGTTAAAGCTAATTTTGAGTTAATTAGCAGGTACGTGTATGTTACAATATACGTTCTGGCTTACATACATGTGCACATAAAAACATCGCAATTAAATCAATTTGATTGCGAGTAAATACGACTATCTACCGGTTTCAAAAAACTTCCAAATGACATTTGTCTAACTTAATGTATGCAAATAGCTCTTTTGGGTACAAAGTTCAAAATTTTTTTGAAGATCGCAAGGAAGATGAATATGCATAAGCGAAAAAATTTAGCATATGCAAGTCATTAATCGCCAGCGGTTTTTTATTCTAATAAATCTTTACGATTTGAGTCAGCTAAGTTGTAGCTGCATATTTAAATGCAATGCTTCTTCCCGCATTTTTTATTTTTTATTGTTTTGCTTCATAGGTGCATCACTAATTGGTCCTATACAGAAAAAATGATTGCTAGATATGAGGTGCATATCATAACTATAAGGCGCCTACATATATACATTGGCAAATTTTGACTATTTATTTTTTATTATTTAATGCTAATAATTTTTTTATAAAATCATAGTGCATATAATATTTAATAGAGTTATTATATATTTCCAAGTTAAATTAAAAAAACAAAATACAGAATTTACAAATGGCTATTGATAACACCTAAACTTTTAACTAAAAAAAAAAAATTATCTTAGGTTAAGATCAAGATTAGGATTAAAATTAAGGTTAAGGTTAGTTTAAGATAAAAATTACGACGAAGGTTGCTAGGATTTAGATTACGATTGAGATTAAAATTAAGATTAGGATTAATATTAAAATATGTTTAAGATTACGATGAGGATTAAACTAAAGATTATGATTAATATTGACATTAAGATCAAGATTGAGATAAAGATTAAGGTTAAGGTTAAGTTAAGGTTAAGGTTAAGTTAGGAGTAAGAATAAGATAAAAATTAAGACTATGACTAAGATTAAGACTAAGGTTGAGATAAAGATTAAGATTTAAATTTAGATTAGGATTAAGATTAAAATAAGATTAAGATTAAGAGTTAGGTTAAGAGTGAGAATAAGATTGAGATAAAGTTTAAGCCTAACCCGATTAACTTCCTTAGTTTGTCTTGTTCTAATTACTACTTCAACTATGTTAAGTACACAACCCTAATTGGCTGTTATTTTTGGGAAAGTTACTTACATAAGTAGGTTTTACTGTATTAATTTAAGAGATATCCATACTTATTTAATTTGAATTAGAGTTAACGTCGAGATATTTATGTGTAGTAAATAAAATTATTTCTAAACAGAACTTTGAACTTTTTTCGGTTATTTGTTTTCCACCTCATACTTACATACCCTTGTGGTCAGCTGATTAAGTTAGGTGAGATTTTGAACAGTTTCGGCTATTAAAAAAAAACTATTTAATTTTAATAATTTTTTTTTTTAAGTTTGGCAAACTACATAACCAGTCCAGACAAATCGACATTTCAAACTTCGTACAAAACAAACGTTAACAATTATAACCAAAAATTTTAAACTTTTTATTAAAAATTTTTGGTATCCAGTTATGTAGCCTATTAAACTTAAGTAGATTAAAGTGCAAATTTCAAGACGCTAGTAAATGGCGTTGATTTTTTATCTTTTTTTTTTTGACTGACGGTGTTGACCAAATTCTCTCATATATGTAAAGTAGTTATGTACCTTAACTTAATCAGCTGAACACAAGTGTGTATAAATATGTACATGACCGCTTTAAAGCTGCAAGCGTAGGTAAAGTACAAAGAAATAAAAAAACAATTAAAATAATTTTATTTATATAAAATAAAGCTTAAAATTTTGTACAGAAATGAAAAAATCAACAAAGTATCAACCAAATTTCGCGCTTTTTAGTCAGTAGTAAAATTTTAAGTGGTTACAAATTGTTGTTGGTTTTTGGCATTCTTTTTTTTTTTTGAAAATGTTGTGCCTAATAAATCAAAACTTGTAAATATGTGGTTGTCGTATAGTTATGATAAGCAATATACAATGTGTGAAACTAAGTACATACATATTTATAAGAATGTAAGTATGACTGGTTCCTCTTTTATTTTCTTTTTTTCAATGTTTTTAAGTGCGAATATAATGTTTTTGCATACGCCATGACTATACAACAAATGACGCTAATTTAACGATCACTTAAGTAAATTAATTTGATTATATCAGTTTAATGCCTCTGTTCTTTTTGTAACACAATGTATCAATTGGGTAATGAATGACCTTAACTTACACACGTACGCCTTGGCGGATGCAATAGCCTATACAATATTGGCCCAGTCCAACAAAGCCCATCAGACATGTCATATTATATCCGGAGAGCAAACCACTCCATATCTGTCGGAAACTTTCGCACTCTCGGGGACCTTATTCGAATAGCTTGACGGTTGCCTCCCATATTTAGTGTTAACAAAGTTTTCCGCTGGTTACAGACTACTTTGCCACGCTACAAATTTTGGCAGCCAAAAACACGGTAACAATGTGCTGGGTACCTGGTCATTGGGAATTGAAGGCAACGAGATCGCCGACGTGTTGGCACGAGAAAGATCGCTAACTCCCTTTTCCGGATCTGAACCCTTTTGTGGTCCCAGTTGGTCCTCTCCGATAGCCATAATTACTAAGTGGCTACATTCCGAACGCAGTAAGTACTGGGCAGCGGTGGGGCGACCAGGCTCTTCGTTTACCCTTTCATCAGAAACGACATTGTCTCCGTAAATCGAAATGACATCAGGCTACTTTCTGGGTACTTGACCGGTCACAACCAATTACGATTCGACTTGCACCGAATAGGTGTGATCGCAGAGTCGCAGTGTCGGAATGATGATACTTCGGAGAATATTCTCTGTCACTGTCCGGCTTTGGCCAGACAAAGACTGACCGCTGCCTTGGCGATGTCGTTCGAATGGAAACCGACGCTCCATCTCTGAAAGTATTCAGCTCTGAACCCGAATGACTTTTTTTGGACAGAAATAAAAACAGTGGGAAAATACCTTTCTACTGAGATCCCATAAGTCTAAATCAGAATAGTTTTGGCCCGGTTATTCAAGTTTTTTGTAAATCAATCTTTGAAAAAACAGCATTAAAAATCTCGTTATTACGATTCCGTTGAAAAGATTTTTAAACATTTTTATGTAGATTTTTTGAGCTTAATCTGTTTTGTCATCTGAGGGACTTTTTTAAAAGAGTTTTTTAAGAAAATATTTTTATTCATAAAAAATAAATTTTCGGAGGCATTTTCAAATCTGTCCAGCTCACGTAAATCTTAATATTTTTCCGAGATATTTTGGTGGACGTCTTAAAATATAATAAATTTTGTAATCCCGGCGGAAAACCCGCAACTTTTTTTGGAGATGCAGTCTAATGTACATCACTCAGTATACAAAAAAAAATTTGGTACTGTTTC